AATTACATCAACAGGTTCCGGGAAATTCAATTCCTAAAATATCAGCAATACATGCATATTTGACAGAATAAGGGATGTAATAAAAAATAACAAAATCCTCCAAAATATTGTGTCCCACTTTCGCCATGGCATCCCGCTACCATGTTTGCTTCCCAAACCACGTGGACAAGCTTAACATGAGGTATCTACTGTAACTTGTCCCTGCAGTAAAAAATAAGAATATTGAGGGGATGAAACTCAAAGGGGTCTTCAGATAATAAAGAGATTGTAGTACTAGAATCAGACTCCACAATTAAATGAGATATATTTCTATCAATAGCAAGTTTGAGACCATTCCTAATTGCCCATAGTTCAGCCACCAAAATAGACGGCCGTCCAATCTTTCTAGTATAACCCATAATTCAGTTTCCCCATTTATTCCTAAATAAACCACCAGCAGAAGTCTGCCCAGGATTCCTTATTGCAGACCCATCCGTGTTTAATTTAAGGAAGGGATGGGGAGGTTTGGACCATCTGAAAAATGTTGTACCACTCCCTTTTGTTTATTTTACTAATTTTTATCCAAACATAGGCTTGGTGTTAGTCCTGTGGCTTTTTGGTCATTTTGCTAACAAATTTCTTTGTTGGTTGTTCCCAGAGATTGTTTCTTTGTTTTGTCTTCAGTGTGTTGTGTCTCCCTTTCTGTCTTGCATCATGGTTTTTAGGTCTTTTTACTCCTGTTTTTTGCAGTGTTTTGGCTAATTGATTTTCATGTTTCATGTTTCATTTAGTCTTGGAAGATTGGTCTTTGGTCATCATTGTGATGAAAGAGGAAAACCACTTTCCTGCTTCGGTTGGATTTTGAGATTTGAACACCGAAATGCCAATCTCCCTATGGTTTTGCAGTCGGCCACCATTGTAAAATCTTGGGAGTGTTGTTTTTCTTTTGGTGCTCTTTGCTTGGTTGCTTTTAGCGTTTGGAGTGGATTCTAATTTCTCCTAAGTACATATTTTTTGCTCTTTGTTTTGAATTGTTTTTGTTGTGCAGATTTTGGGTATCAAGAATGAAGTTTCTTCTGGGCATTTGCTCTTGATTTTGATAGGGATGGTGGGTATTCGGATTTAGAAGGTATTGGTTGACTTCACATGTGTGCAAATCTGAACAGATAGGGCGAGATCGAAGCAGTGATAGGAAAAAGGAGCTCGGTGCTTGGGTGTGTATTACATGATGGCCCTTGGGGTGTGAGAACAAAATAGATAGTAAAGGACGATGAAGAGAGAAGCAGTAGAAAGAAAATCAAGCAGCAAACGTTGCTAGGAATTTTTAAATTAGTGTTTCAAGGTGAAAATTTCTTCCTTACTTTTTCTTTTTTCTATAGTTAGTTGCTTTATTCTCTCAGAAACTTAGTTTCCTTTTTTTGGTATGAACGAGATGAACAACAAAGGGTTGCTTGGTGAAAAAAAGGGACCAGGAGTGGGTTTTTGATTTTGAGATTTGCTAGGTAAAAATCTCCTTTCCTCTGTTACTTTCCTTTTCCCTAACTTTCTTGTTTGTTACTTGACGGAATGGTGAGGAAAAAAGACACGGTTAGCTTGTGACTAAGCATATCCATTGGATTAATTCCACACATTTAAAAGTTTTGCAAAGTTAGGCCGATTATGATAGTAAATGATTTAATAAAAATGGTGTGTACAAGGTATATTAATTAATTGAGATTTTTTTTTCTTATTATTATTATTTTTTTTGTTTTGGGTGATGTGTTGGCTGTTGTCCACGAGGTTTTCATTTACCAATTTTTTTAATTTAAAGATAGTAGACTATCCTCTTTAATTTAAAGGATTTTCTAAAGTCAAAGGTTAAGATGTAATAAATATTTTTTTTTATAATTAATTTACATAAAAAATAATAAAAATTTATTTTTATTTTAGTATTATTATCATGTAAGTAGTTTTAATTAGTCAATTAATTAAATTCAAATTAACTTTTATTATTTTCTATATATATTAATTATAAAAAAATGTATTTATTACACATTTATCTTATGTCGATACAGAATAAAAAATCCCTTAACTTAAAGGTAGCCGATTGTTCTTTTTAAACTCATGGCATTTTTTTTTTTTTTAACCCTCATGACATTGTACCATACATGAAAATACAATGAGATTGTTGAACAATTCCATTTTACTACATAGGATTGTTCTCAAACTCATGAGGTTCAGCTCACCTTGCTATTTTCATTTGAACGATTTGAATGTTTTAAGCATGAGACATTTTGCTATATGAAAAATATATTTAGAGGCAGCATTGATCTTAAATCCCAAGCATAAAATTTAAATTAAG